TGAATGTCCAGAAGACCAGACTTAACTTTTTTAGAGTCTGGTAGTTTGTTTTTGTTTTTTAATTTAAAAAACATTCCCCACCACTTTACAAGAATCTGGTCTTTTCGTTTGTCTTACATTGTAATAATATCAATAAATGTTAAAAATCATTGCCACCAGTTGATAACAGTTGTAGCAGGTTGCTGCGGCTCTGGACACATTGAATTTAGTGAATGAAGGTGTAAAAATGGCTCTTTTGATCATAAAGGTTGCAGACATTAGGTCTAAACCATTAAATGTGAGGAATGTTCACATATTCAAAACTTATTCAAACAAACTTTGAAAATGTATGTTTTATCACAGGAATGTGCGTTCACGCGCTGCCTTCCTGAAATTAATTCCATCCTTTCTGTACGACATCAGAATGAGCAGCTCCAGCAGGATGTCGACTTCTATCGTGGTGAGCTGGACCAGAGAGAGGCTCTCCCGTCCGTAGACGAAAATGCAGAGTCTCAGAGGAAGCTCAACTTGGCTAATCGCCAGCTGTACCAGTGCTTGGAAGATCTTCAGGTTTTTGAAGACTCTTATTTGTTTGTTTGAACATATTGTGACTAAAATAATCGTTGTTCGGTTTTTCCGCACTTTAGAATTGATTTGATATGCACAATTAATGCCCTTGAGACAATATTACTACTGTAATATACTGCCAAAACATGAAGATGAGTGTTGTTTTTTCTTAATAACGACATTTCACATCTTTTTTTAAGGCCTTTGTCAGCCTGGATTACCTGCTCTTTCCACCCTTAATACGCAGCATGTGCCCATTTTGCAGGTATTCAAATAATTTACTCCATTGCTCTGTGTCTAACAGCAAGCTGAGGATGAAAACAAACACCTGAAGACGCAGAATGAGCAGATGCTGAAGAGTCTGGAAAAGTCTGTGACGGAGATGGAGAAGCTGACAGACGAGTACAACAAGATGAAGATCGTTGTGCATCAGACTGACTCAATCGTGGACCAGCTCAGGAAGGAGAGAGATCATGCGAAGCTTCAAGTAAAGGATGCTGCTGTTAAAGTCCATGATCTACGTTTGTATTGCGCACAGTTGTTGCGGTTTGGAGTCTGAGCTGAGCTGCTACGATCTCTGCTCCCTGTCCATGAAGTGGCGGAGCTGTGTGGGGGGGTTTGGTAGGCGAGGTGCTCGGTTCCGTTGAGAAGTAGTGGCTTTCGTTTGGCCACTGCCTGATTGGTGGATTGCTGCAGAGATGGTTGTCCTTCTGAAAGGTTCTCTCTCCACAGAAGAACACTGGAACTCTCACAGAATGACTGTTGGGTTCTCAGTCATCTTCCTGACTAAGATCCTTCTCCCTCGATCGCTCAGTTTAGATGGCTGACCACCTCTAGGAAGAGTTCTCATAGTTCCAACCTTCTTCCATTAATGAATGATGGAGGCCACTGGGCTCATTGGGACCTTCAAAGCAGCAGAAATGTTTCTGTATCTTTCCCAAGATTTGTGCCTCAACACAATCTTGTCTTGGAGGTCTACAGACAATTCCTTTGCTTAGTGTTTGCGCTCTGACATGCACTGTCAACTGTGGGATTTTATAATAATAAAAATACTTTATTTATAAAGCCCTTTAAAACAACCACAGCTGCCACAAAGTGCTGTACATATAAAATCAAGAACATTTAAACACATAAAACAGTTGTTTAAACATTAATATCAATAAAAAAATAATAAAAACAGTACAGAGCAAAATTCAGTCTGTGCTAAAAGCCAGGGAGTAAAAATGTGTTTTTAAAATAGTTTTAAAACTGGACAGTGAAGGGGCTTGTCTGATGGGAAGAGGAAGATCGTTCCACAGTCTTGGAGCAGTTATATAGACGGGGGTGTGCATTTCCAAATCAAGTCCAAACAACTGAATTTACCACAGGTGGACCCTTCTTTACGTTGTAGAAACAGCTCAAGGATGATCAGAGGAAACGTGCGTCTGAGTTCAAGTTTGAGATTCATGGCAAAGGCTGTGAATACTTAACGCAAATGTGATTTCTTGGTTTTTTATTGTTTATAAATTTGCAAAAATTTCCAAAAATCTTTTTTTTTCTCCTCATTTTCACAATGTTGTATTGTGTGTAGAATTTTGAGGAAAGAGATAAAATTAATACAATTTTGAAAAAGGCTGTAATTTAACATGTCAAAAACGTGAAGCACAGTGAGTACTTTTTGGATGCACTCCATATCATCTAATAATGCTAAAGCCGTTGTTGTTAAAGGTGTTTTTCTGCACCACTTTGCGCATGCTTTTATATCCACTCAAATAATTTCATACATGTGGACATTTTAATTGTTCATCATGCGTCTGCTGTGTACAGTAATAGTTTTCACATTAGCGGTGTCCAAGTATCGCCTTTAAGAGTCCCCAGTTGGCCAATAACCAAAAAACGTGCGTACGCCAGCCATGAAGGTTGCGTGGGTCTGTGCACATTTCCTTGGTCATTTCATTCTTGATACATCTGAAGTTTTGCATGAGAAAGGGTATTTTTGTGCATACGCACCCTTTGTACATGAGGCCCCTGGGCACCTTTAAGTCACTGAGTTGACCACGAACTCCTCTGTAGACCAAAAGATTTTAAAGTTAAATATGAGGCTGTCTGTCTCATAGCTAAATTTTAGACCAAACTTGGTCCAAATGAAACTGAACAATGATCCCAAACACAGCAGCTAATCTACAACAGAATAGTTGGCAATGATTCAATAGAATAGTTGGCAATGATTCAATCAAAGTCCAGAATTCAAGCTTATTAAAAAGCTGTGAAAGCTGTGGGTGGGACTTTGAGAGCGGAGCAGAAACTATTGTCTGCAAACCTCAATAAACTGACTAGTTTCTTCTGTTGACAGGGCAGGGTGCCCTCCTTGAATAACGGTAGGGGAAACACTGATATGTGTATATATATATATATACATATATATATATATATGTGTATGTATTAGAGTCCGACCAATACGGAAATTTTGGCTATCGCTCATACCCGTATTGGGAGGGGAAGGCTAATGTCGATAACCAATATATTGGCTGAAAATCTTTGAGCTTTGTCCACCCTCAAGAATCTAAGTAAACATCTTCTTTTTAACCCGTTTTAACACGTGAAGTCTGGAAACAGTCTTCCTAACATGCGTTCACATTTTCCTGTCCTCCACTGTTCACCGTAAAGTTATCAAGTGTGTTACAAAATTATAAATTAAACAAAGAAACATCCTTCCTGTTCATTGTTTCAACAGTCGGTCACATATGGTGAGGGCCTAATTAGTATTGACTGCAGCGTTCTTTAGTTTTCTTTGCAGAGATGTAAAGACTTCATACAAACAGTGCATTTCATTGAGCACGACAAAGATAACACTGATAAATTTTACCTCTACGTTAGATTTATTGTTCTGGCTAAAGTTTTACAAGACAATAGCCTATGCTAGGTTATCTAAACATTAGCTGGCTAACTTGAGAGGCACATGGCTAATGACAAGCATGTTGGAGGATTGAAGAGAATTAATTTTACAGCTCAGTTAAAATAAACTTACCATGCTCTGTTCAGCAAAATACACTCCACAGTATTGCTCCCTGCTTCAGTTGTGGTGAAATTGAAAGTTAAAGAGAAAGGTCATGACTTGAACGTAGTCTGCATGCACCCTCTGCTGGATACATTGTACAATTATGCCTCCTAGGACACGGCTTGTTCCCAGTGTTTATATCAGCACATAATGGGATAATTATCACTGATACCGATATGTCCCCAAACGCCTGTATCGGCCCTACCCATGTATCGTTCAGGCTCTACTACACACTATTATGAGGTGTGCTTAGTTGTTTTTACACACAGCTTTTCCATTTTGTTTTGTTGAATAATATATACCAGGTGGACTCTGCTGTGGGTTTTTTTGTGCACTTGAGATTTAGGTTTAAACCATTTTGGAATGTAAAAACCATACAGTTTCTATTATGTCCTGATATGTATGTAAAAGCCTGGAACGGAAAGGATGGGTGTTATTTTGCACATGAATATAATATTTATGGTGATAAGCAAGCCTTCTCATGTGGGTGTGTGTGTGTTTTTGTTAATTTTTTTTTTATGCAGGTTAGAGAGCTAACAGACAAGCTTCATGGCATGACTGGAGACAATGATCCGATCATGGCAACTGTCACTGCCAAAGTGGAGGAGTGGAAGGTGAGTTGTAAAGATTTTGTTTTTCAGTTTACTTTCATCCAGATCTTGGTATACGTATGCCACATTGTTTTCAATAAAGGTCAAAACTACTTGAAGTCAAACATAAACAGGAATTGTGAGATTTTTTTTTTTTTCTTGTGCATCAAAATTTTTGATGAAAACTCTGAAAAAGTGTCAGGGCTGAGGATATTGAGGTTTTCCTTGGCAGTGACAAGCTTGGATAAGATTAGGAATGAGATTAGATGTGCAGCACAGGTTGAATGACTTGAAGATAAAGTTTGAGAGGCCAGACTGAGACAGTTTGGACATGTGCAGAGTAGGTAGAGTGGTTATATTGGTAGAAGGTCGTTGGGAGCCTGAATGGTGTGAAATAGGTTTGTGGAGAAAGGGACACACTTTAATAAACTCATTATCAGAGAGTCAGAGATTCTTCATCGTGGTACATGTGATGGAGCGAAATGATGTACTGCTTTCCCTGCTGGTTTCGTCCCAGCCAGCAGTGCTGTCTATGGGTTTCCCCCATTGTCCACCGTCACAGGTGGGCCAGCTGTAGGCTCGCCCCAAGATGAAGCCTCCTTTTGTTGGGGGTAAGGCTCACCCCACCCTGAACTGCAGCTTTTATCCTGGTTCAGATACTGCATAGGCTGTGTGGAGCTGTGTGCTGGGTGAGGCTGACTCTGAGATGATGGGCCTGTGGCCTCCTGATTCGACGGACTTGTCTTGTTCCACATGTTGACAGATCCATCACTGTATTTACCAGGATCGCCCCAATTATGCATGAAATATACAAAGCAGAGCTTCTCTACAGGACAAATATCAGCTTCTGTTGTGATGACGTCATGTTTCTCTCTCACAGGTGGTGCTCTCAGCGAAGGATAATGAAATTTTGGTGTATCAACAGATGATCGGTGACCTAAAGGAAAAGCTGTGCTCAGCTCAGCTGGACTTGGACAAAAGCAACATTATTACCTTGCAACAGGTTCGTCTGAATATAGCAAGTGAATAAACGTTTGTATTTATGTTTGAATCTGACATTTTAGTTCCTGTCTGCTCAGTTTATCGTCGTTATGCTGCTTGTCATGAGAACACAAATTTATTTTTCTTACAGCAAATACTTCTCTTGTAACAGGTCCATGGGTTTTGTAACCGTAAAATAAATTTGTGATTTGCGCATGCATATATAGAAATTTGTGTGCGTTTAAAAAAAAGATTTGATTTGTATAAAATTATTACACAAGTTACAAATCTTTACATTTAATTTCTTCCAGAGCTGTTTGCATTCACTAGTAGCTCAATGAGTTTAGTACCAGAACCAACTGTCAGCTGAGATGTTTTTGGGTGAGTTTAGCAGCATAAATATTTTTCGTGGAAGGGCATGATGCATTAAACACCTAAAGTTATATTTCTGTGTCTCACACCAACCGTTTGTTTAATCAGGGCTGAATGTAAAACTATGACAGAGACGTTTGCTGGACTCGTTTTCTATCTGAATGGTGCGTGTAGCTACATGAATCATTAAATGTTTTACATAACTATGGTTTACGTACACAGAGAGATGACGTCATATAAAACCACATTTAGCTTCAGTTAAAAAACTTCTTTAGTTCATGTTGGCAGCATTTAGCTTGTCTTAGCATTAGTAGGTTTTCAACAGTATCTCATTATGTTATTAGAGCTCATCCGCTAATCTTCATAACATAAAACCGTAGCAACAAAAACACATACTGGTAATTAAACACCTGAATTAAAAACCACAAAATAATTGTAGTCTTATAAAATGTTTGCTATAAAGATGAGTGACTGTCAGCATTTCCTGGTTCTTCCCCTCCACACGGCAACATTATTGATCACTTCAGATCATCGTTGTGCACCGCAATGTTTTGCTCGTCAGGGCAGTAGCGGGTCACGTGAGTGAAAACTGTCCGTAGTAACCAAACGTGATTTCCAGAAATATATATCTGAACAATCATGTTTTTGTTCCACTATACCATAAAATAATGCTATCCCAGGACTTACGGCTCAGAAAAGTGCCACCCCGACAGCCAAACCTTTCTGTTTTCTGATTGGTTAATTAAATTTGTGATTGACAGGACGTTGACCAATCAGCTGTGGGGACAAAATTACAGTCATTTGTTTTCATTCAACCTTTATTTACACAGATAAATCACACTGAGCCTCAAATACTCATTTACAAGTGAGACCTGTTCAGACAGACAAAGTAATGAAAGTAACACATGTGTAGAATTAGGCAAAAAAAAAAAATTACTATCAAACTCTCACTTGCTGGCAAATTATCTAGACTGACCCTGGGTCTTTTGATCTGCTCAGAGACGGGATTATAATGAAATTATGACCCGGTTCCGACTGGGTTAAATGGGGCCAGCAACTCTAAAAAGAGTCTCCCAGGGATTCAATATCTGTAAGGAATAGTTTATTTTGCTCGCTACATCACGTAGAAAGGCTTTTGAAGCACCGCCTCATTTTTTCCTTCACATTAAACCAGTTAAGATCCCGTTGAGATCACACTTAGTCACTCCCCCTCATACACGTGACCGGTTGTGCTCCCCTTCTGCAAAGGAGGAGTCTATGGCCTTTAAATCTGTAATGCTACGGGACATCCGACCCTTCCTGCTTCTGATCTCGCTTTGGGTACCGGACCAGCCAGCGCTGTAAACTGTAACTTTTACCTGCCTTGATTTTTATACAATTGGAAGAACTGAATTCACGTTTCCTTGATTTATTGATGGTGTGAGTTGCCACTTCTGAGGGAGGTCTGAGCCAGGGAGCAGCGTGGGCTGGAGGCGGGTCCTGGGTCCGAGAGGAGGCCTAAGGCCCACGGCTAGCAGCAACTAGCTGCAGTGGCTCATGGCCCGCATTCGGCTCCCATTGTAACACACTCCTTGGCTGAGGAGAGAGAGCCTGAGATTGAAAAAAACACCCTGCATATAGGCACATAGTGACACAGACATTCCACAGGGGACGGGAGACGACAAGAGCGGTGAGCGTGTCCAAGGACACTCCAGAGCCACTGTAAAAGTTCGGGTAGGAATGGGATAATCAGTCAGTTCCCTCTGGTGAGATCCGCAAACACTCTGGAGGGGTGCCAAGGTCGACCTAGGAGAGAAGCCAAGAGTCATAATTTGTACTTGTAAAATAAACTCACAGGCAGAGTTACAGTTTTTTGATTTGTGTCTGTAAACAGATCTTTGCCAAAAAAAAAAAAGATTTGTAACTTGTGTAGTTATTTTTACAAATAGAAATCTTTTTTTTTTTTTTTACACACAAATATCTATTTGCACATACACAAATCACAAATTTATTTTACAAGCTTACAAAACTGATTTACAAGAACAAAAATGTTTATGACTGGAATTTGTGCCCATACAGGTCAACTTATTTTTCATGGGTTATAATTGCTTTTTGTCAGAATGATGGCAACACCTTCACTCACTGACTTTGTACTTATTTTATAATGCATTACTACGTCAAAACTGATGGGAATAATCTTACAGCCCAGCTTGTTTGCCACATCAGTTTATAGAAAATGTTTAGTTTTATTTCAACACCTCATTTCCCAGAGAATGGTTTCTGTCTGAAATGCTTTGAAAGCTCCAGGTCAATTTGTACTTCTACCAAAATATACCTTAGATCAGGGGTTTTCATCCGTTTTTGCACCACAGACCAGTATTTTTCAAGAAAATTTTTCTGCGAACCAGTTAAAATTTTCTAAATTTAAGACATTTCACTCAGAACCGAGTGGCTGCTCCATCCATGCACCACCCACTCAGTCCTACTTCTGTTTTAAAGTCTATGAGATGCAGGAGGATGTAAAGATATTCAGAACAGTTGTTGTTTGAAATCTTCCCCATATAATTTGGATTTCAAACCAACTTTTGCGAAGCAGGAAATGAATTTATTAGAAGTAGTGTTAATAGGATAAGCGATTAAGTTTTGATTGATAAAATAGGAGCTTTAGGACTACTCGTGAGGATTTTCTTTCTGCTGAAGCATTTGTGTATGTTATCTTAGTGTAGACTTTATATAAATGATAGAAGTAAGTATTTTTGTTATTATTATTATTATTTGTCATATTGCCTATTGTTAGAAATGGGTAGTACGGGAGCGTTCAGTCTAAAATCTAATAGTTATTATTGATGTTTTGTGTTCAGTAATAAAGTTTTTTATAGAATGACCTCCACAGATCAAAAGGATTTAGCTTGCAGTATTGGAACCTTCAAATAAAGTAGTCAAAGGGGCTCTTTGACGCTTACAAAGATAGTAATTGTTTCGAGACAAAAAACTTGTCAAAGGATTCTTCTTGGCATATAATATGTTTGTCGTTATGCCAGGAAAGGTCATCCTCAAATTATAAATACAAGCAGTTGTTTGTATCTACAACAAGCTGCTTCTCATTTGCTGTAGACCCACCAAGAGGTGGAACTGCTTCTAATAATACCGGGAACTGTGAAACTGTGTTTTCAGTCCAAACCCACCTCATAATGACCCACTGCAATAATGTGAAATGTTTCTGCGCCAGCCCCTTTACGGTTGCACTTTAAATGTTTCTTCATGTTTTCACACTGAGCTTTCATTTCTAGTCAAATCACGTTACTTTATTTTTTATTTTTTTTGCTTCGTTCCAAGTCGAAACAAATTAAGTAATTAAAATGTATTATTGGAGTAATCACAAAGTATGAAGGCTTCTCGAACTATGATTTGTCTCCCATGTGTGTGTGTGTGAATGTTTTTGTCCCTTTCTTCTCTTCACATTCGTTTTTTTTTTTCATTTTCTTTACCTTTTCAATTTCTTCTGAACCCGCCCTCCCTTTCATCTCTCTTGCTGCTTCGGGCCGGGTTATATATGAGCTCTGTGGTGTAAGTTTAATCTATCATGTTGGTCCTCGTCCTTTGACTCTCCTCCTTTTCTTTTTATAAATGTTCCTACTGTTGAAAAGCGCCGATTATTAAGTGTTTTACCGCTGTGTTTAGTGCTCTGCATAAATTCTCATTATTTGGAAATGTTGGTGAATTCTCCAAAGGCCGTCCAAGAGCGAGATAATCAGATCAAGATGCTGAGTGAGCAGGTGGAGCAGTATACAGGAGAAATGCAGAAGCATGTCCAGCTCATTGAGGTGCTAAAGATGTCCACGAACAAAGACAAAGGTCTGTGGATTCCTGCTAACGACTACTAATGCTCATGTCAAAAGTACTTTCTGTGCACTGCAGCTTTTTAAAATTTACACCCTTTTCTTGCAGAGGTAGACTGCCAGATTATTATTTTTTACTATAAAGAAAATCGCTTGACATTTATCCACCCAAAAGACATTTAAAAAACAAAAGTTGAATGAGTTTTATAAAGTAAATCTATTTAAAATGTCAACTGAGGGGCATTTCAAAATTAAAAAAATAGTCCTAAAATTTATTTTGGACTAAAATAAATTACAATATTTTCCTTTTGTTTAAAATAATTAAAGTCTAATTACTTAAATTATTGAGGGGGCATAATTACTAGTATAGATGTGCTTATTTAAAATATATATATTTTAAATTATTTAACACCTGCTGCACATTTGTGCAGCCCAGAGCTGCAGAAAAAGCGTCCTCTTGTACCTGTGTGCAACCCATACTGCTGCAGGATAAACTTCCTGCAGCAGCTGATCAGCTGTTCCCCGTGCAGCACTGAGAAGTGGGCGTGGCCAAGAGCGCTTGCAGGATGCAAAGAGCAGAGGAGGCAGGGCGCTGAAATCATGACATTCTGTGCTCTTTTAGAACGTTTAGAGTTTAGAAACATTGTTAAGCATATTGCAAGAGTGTGGGAAGGATTTAAAATGCCTATTTTTATATACATAAAAACACACATATATATGTACTAAAATAAACTACTACTTACCACTTGTACTACTATTCCTACTTTGCGTTTTTTCACTTATCGCGGGTCCTCAGGGTACGGATCCCCTGTGATAAACGAGAGACTACTATATTCAGAAAACCTTTTTCTTTTATTAAAGTGACTGAGATAAATGAGAGCCTGTCAAGCCGTAGTTTTCGTTTCATGGACCTTGATTTTAATTTATAGCAACACTGCTCTAATTGATGTTTACACACATCCGGTAGCTGCAGGTGTCAGGGGATGATCCTGGTCTTCTTCTTGTCACAAGCCATGCTAACAGTTCACTATCTGGACTCCTTAGTTTTTGCCACTCGTCTTTAAATCTCTATTTGCTCATATGGTCAGAAATCCTGACAGGAAATGCTGAAGTTGGGGATTTGATCCTGCAGCCATGTCTCGGTTGTAAAAAAACAACAACAAAAACACATCTTGTTGTTATGGTTACGCAGCATAACAAATGTCCAATAGTAAAAAGGTTTCCGTAAAAATCCTGGAGTTAGGGTTGGCTTGTTATGCTGCTATAGGCTTAGACTACTGGAGGACAAATTTACCTCATTTCCTTAAATGAACTGTTAAAATTGAATAGTTTCAATTGATATTATTTCTATCTTAACATTTGATTTTCGACCTGCCATTCTGTATCTGTTCCTCCTTCCTGTTCCTACCAAACCCAGCTGGTCAAAGCAAATGGCTGCTTGTCCTGAGCTTCCTCATGAGGGAGATTTTCCTTTACACTGTCACCTTCATGCTTACTCAAGATGAGAGTTCTGTGATGAAGTTAAACTAAAAGCCGTCTGCTCCTCAGATAAATAATGTTATTAACATACTTTTTTTTTTTTTTAAATTGCGCCGCTCAAGGTGGCTGCATGTTGGAGCAGCTCTGTTACTTTCATTCTGAGATTTTGCTTTTGGAAACTTTAATTCCTCTTTTTCTGGATGTAAATCACATTTTTTTGGATGATTGTTTCCTCTGGTATCGGATGCTGTGCAGCTGGAAGGATTTTTACTGAAACTTTTTTAGTTTTGGACATTTGTTATGATGCGTAACCATGGCAACAAGGCAGTTTTCTACAACCAACAGCAGCTGATTAACATCTCAAAAGCTCAAATAATATCTCAACTACAGCCCCAAATCTCAAGTGAGTTGAAAAGGATGTTCTGTGGATGCATTCTCATCTACCTGCCAGCTGTGCTCGAGTGTCTGACCACTGAGATCCTGGAACTAGCAGGAAACACGGCTCATGACAGCGGGAGGACAGGATCGTCCCTCGGCACCTACAGTTGGCTGTCCACAGCGACGAGGAGCTCGGCAGACTGCTGGGAGGAGTGGCCATCGCTCTGGGAGGAGTTCTGCCCGCCATTCAGGCGATCCTACAGCCCGGGGGAACCGACGGGCCAGCCGAGTCTGGGTGGACGGATCGGACGGCATCTGCAGCCAGTTTCTTAGGATCCATTGTGGGATGGACCTTTACAAGAGATCCTTCCTGTCTACAGCCATCAGTATCTATAACATCTCTTGAAATGAGGATAACGAGTTACAACAACAAATAATTTCTCTCTGGGATTAATAAAATATTTTTGAATATAAGTAAATGTTACTGTTCTGTACCCTTGGATGACTTTTATTATGACTTGGCGCCATATAAATAAACTGAATTGAAAAAAAGAAGAATACCGAGCTACTCCAACATGCAGCCACCTTGAGCGGCCCAATTCTGGAACCATAGTGCTAATGCCCCATGCAGGTTTAATGTGTACACAATCTTTGACTATTATGGTAACATCAAAAAGTGAGGAATAGCAAATCAACAGCTGTGATGAAAAAAGATTACCGGTAATAACTAAATAGTATTTAGGATGTTTTGATGCTTAGGCACTTAAGCACCCTTATTAATACCAGTGAAAATTTATTATCAAAATGTTGCTACAGTTGTATTAAATTGTAGCCTGTGAGTTAAATTAACTGTTTAATTGTTTTTTTGACTAGTAAACACAGATGCAAAGTAGCAATAAATTGTAATTGTTTCTTTTATCAGCTAAAATGTTCATTTCTTTTTCTTGTCCAAAGGTCCATTTTCAACCCCACAGCAGAAGAAGTTGGAGGAGCTCAGGTCTAAGCTAAAAGCTGCAGAGACCAGAGCCGTGGAAGCAGAGCAGGCCTTAAGACGTGCAGAAGCTCACGCTGAAAAAAAAGACAAAGCCCTCATTGAGGCTTCAAACCGCTTGAGCCAGTATGAGTCTGTGAGTGCACAAACACCCTCTCTTTCTCCTTTGTTTTTACTTTGGAATCCAAAGATTTATTTTTATCCAAATCTAATTAGATTACTCTAAATTTCCCAGAAGTGAGGCATGTGATTGTCTTTTTCATTGCCTGTCCTTGTTTCCTGTCCTTGGAATAAGGATGTTTCAATGCCTATAATGCTGTGGTGTAACCATCATGGTTTTTGGCTCTGCGAGTTTAGTGTTTGTTTTTGTCACCGCAGAATTTCACATCCTGACGTATCCCTAAAGTTTATGAGACAAAATAAAGAGGAAATAAACAAAAACATGCCGTTTTGATTGACACCTCGTTTGTTTATGGCAGGGCACTTATGGCCTGGAATCAGCCGTTGCCGAGATTAAAGAGTGTAACAATCAAATTAGAATGAGAGACCATGAAGCAGAAGCTATGACCAAAGAAATCAACCAGCTCGGGCTGAGGATCAACGACCTCATGGACGAAAATGAGAAGTTCCGGGAACAACTGGGTCAGAATGCTTCAAAAACACTACCCTTCTTGTTTCTCAGTCCTCTTAGACAGCACTGATTCCTTCAAAGCTGAAAACGCTAAACGTAATTTTGGATTTTTATTGGTCCTGAGCAGGTCTTCAGCCAAAGCAGGAAGTGGATCTGACAGAATTCAGGCGTGCCAAAGACCTCAGACAACGCCAGTACAAAGCAGAAAACCAAGTTCTTGCCAAAGAGGTAAAACAAGATCAAACGGGTTCAAACTGTTGCGTTTTGTCTGAAGTGACCTTTTATTTCTTTGCTTGGTTTCTGTCTAGATTGAGCAACTAGAAGAGGAGCGACTGGAGCTAAAGAAACAAATCAGGTGTATGGTGAAGGAAAGAGGTGAAATAATGGATTTAAACTCTACCAAACATTCAGTTTCTTTCTTATTGCCAGAAATAGCACGAGTGACATACACAACTCACACATCATTTAAAAGCAGCCATGAAGTTGTTTTTAGATAGTAAACGTGTTCAAGTGCAGCATTCTTTCTTTTAAACATAATTTGAGAAGTTGTTGCTTTGGTGCATTTCAACACTTTATCCTCTTTTACTGTTGTTAACAGCAGTGCGCAAACTCTTTGTGTGTGTCATTCTAAAATAAAATAAAAAAGAGTTGAAGGATGAGCTTTCTTCTTTATGAGAAAATAAGAGTAAAGCTGTGTATTGGAGCTGCAGCAGAGCGTTTCTATGATACACAACAGTAAACCAATTAGACAACAGAGGACAGAATTCAGCTGCCTTTAAACTGCTCTCACGCAAAATCTGGTCTTAGTTTGGCTTAGAATGCAACACATGTGAAACAGTAAAAAAAAAGATAAATTTTTGATTCGGTGCTGTGGTTTGATGGCAATGGAATGGAAAAGTTACAGTGTTCATTTTTGTAAGCTTGTACTTTTACACTAAAGTGAGTGGATTGCCTGTTAGGTCATGGTCATTACGGTGAATTATTATCAGATTAATGGGAAACATTCCAAGTCTGAACAGAAACATGTTTTCACCCTCTGGGTCTTTAAGGGGTTAAAGGTCTCAAAAGTTATTACCTAAAAAGTATTTCTGATCATTCTGTGCAGTTCTTTTGGATCAGCTTATAAATTGAACACGTCGGGCATTGTTTTCATCAGCTGGTCTCATATCTGTGTCAAAGTTCAAACCTGGTGGAAAAGGTGTTTATCATGAGCTGTGTCCGCAGGGATCCTACAATCAGGCCTGCAGCTGGAGGATGATGTCAGGTTGAGCAGAAAAACACAAGATGAAGAGATCAAACACGAGGTAAACGTCACGTCTCGCCTGCAGAAAATAAAGAGCATTAACAGAAACTAAAATTGTCTTTACATTCACATGTCAGGCATTTGAGTTCTGCAGAAATTCACATTGATGTGAAGGTTGTTCTTCCTGCGCCAGCTCTCCAGGTGTTCCGCCTCCTGCCTGTAGCTGGACTCGTTGTTTGTGATGCATTCAGCTACTGCTGTATCATCTGCAAATTTTACAAATCGACAGCCTGGATGGGTAGGTGTGCAGTGCAGTCATATGTGAGCAGAGTGAACAGGAGGGGGCTCAACACACAGCCCTGAGGGGAGCCAGTGCTGAGGGTTCAAATGCTGGTCAGTTCAACTGCCATGTTATTTTTCAGAGGACCTTTAGCTGCAACAGGTGTGTCTGCTGTATCTGTTAATGGTTTTTGCCTGGGGATTCTGAGGAGTGTTACCTCAATGATGTAGTCACAAGTCAAGTAATGACTTTTCTGACTCATTCCAGCTTTCAAACATAACCAAGACCAAAATAACTTCAAGCTGACAACGTTAGTTAACTTTTTTGTGAAAACGGCAATCACCACCTCTAATTAAATTGCACAACACAACCTGAGTAACTTCAGACAGACCAGTAAAATGAGAGGTTTTACCTTTAAGCTCAGCTCCTCTTTTACCACCACAGACATGAGGAACTTCCTCAGTACTGCAAACCCCAATTTGTCAACCCATTTCCCACTTCATCTTACCATAACTGTAACAAGACTCCCAAGATAATCAAACTCCTCCACTTGATGCAAAGGCTCACCCCTGACCTGGTAGCATCTATCATTTGAGTGCCATGGCATCAGCGTTAGAGTTGACTCTTATCCTGCTTCACATTCGTCTGTGAACCACCTCAGTGCATACTAAAGGTCACAGCTTGAAGACACCAACATAACTTCATCAAATGCAAAAGGAGTGATGAAACCCTAGCTCTTTCATAAAACAATTCTGCCAGTCTGTCTTTCTCTTCTCTGGCCGTTTATACGTCACAAATGAAGCCAGCCACTTCCCGCACAGAATGAGCTTTTAGAAATGAAACAGGCGTCGCAGAACCAAAAGAGGCGTGTATCAGAACTTATCTGTGCTGAAGTGGAGCGTGATGCATTAAATTTGTGAAGAATGTCTCTTTCGTGTCAATTGCAAAACATAATTAATTAACTCGCTTTAGTAATCCTGTTTGTGGTTATTTTTTGAAACTATTTAAAAAGTTGGTGTGCGTCATCATTGATATTTCCTCTGTAACAAATCTGTTTGTTGCTGTTTGATCCCGTGAGCGGGTGGTCGCACACTAATGTCCTCAGTTCAGTACATTATTGAGCTGTGGCATTGCAGTTTACTTTTTGGCTGGTGCGGTTGTGTTACTACCTTGCTCGGCTGAGGCACACCAGAGGTGGGCTGTCCTCAACCTACCTCGCCACTTCGACCTATTCAGAAAACGCAATAAGAGGTTCAGAACAAGTCTCAGTTCAGGGTTGAGGTGTCTTGTGAAAGGGCCTCCTGTAATCCCAAAACCAGATACCCTCCTCACTATGGCTGCACCCTGTGTCCCTGTCCATGAACACAGACAGACTGGCAGACAAAGGAGGAGCCCAAGTGAAGTCCAGTCCACACATGGAACAAATTTGACTTCATTCTGAGAATGATGACAGTTCATACTTTGCTTATACAGGGACCAGATAGCCTTTTAAGTGACTACTGGTATATATTTTTTCATGCAGATTCTCGTAATTACTTTGCTCAAGCTCTGTGATGTTATGGTCAGATTATTTGTTTAGGCTCACACTGTAATCTGAAAGACTTGAACATTGCTTTACAGAATGAGTACCTTGAAAAACAACTAAGCAGTAAAGAGAGAGAGCTGGAACTGTACAAAACTGAGTTTCACAGTAAATGTAAGTATGGTTTGCTTTCCAAGTTTCTTTTGATACCAATTACAAGTTCATCTAATTTATTATTTTGATCATTTTGAAAGCTCAGTTATTGAAACAAAGTAGATGTATAAAAGACTTTTGCTTTTCCTTGACCTTTTCTTCATGTGTTTGAACCCACAGTGGAAGAACTTTCCAAAGTAAAAAGAGATCTGGAGGCTGCGCTGGGAGATGTTCTTCATGCTATGAGGATTAACCAAGAGTCACTTGATGATGCTTTTCCCAGTGGAAAAAAGTTGCTTTATGTAAGTGTCTCTTATAATAAATGCTATTGTTAGATACTGTGTTGTTAATAGCAATGGGACATAAGAAATTTCGTTCAAAGTTTGTTTTATTTAACTAGGACATTTTCCCTCACTGACATCAAACAATTGTTCTAGCCAAGATAAGCAGCAGACAAAAGATGAAAAAACTACAACAACCTATCCAGAATACAACCCCAATTCAGACAAAGTTGAAAATTTTGGTAAAATGTAAGTGAAAGCAACGTGCAATGGCTGGCAAATCTCACAGAACCATTGTTTATTCACAGTGGAACATAATATATATGTCAAATGTTTAGTTGGCCTGCGTGCATTCCAAACCTCTCACTAAATGAAAACATTGGAAGCATCATGAATAACAAAAGAAAAAAGAAAAAATCCAGTGAAGAGGGCCGGAGTCTGTTGAACAGCTAAAATCCTACATTAGACAAAAATGGAACAACATTCCCCTCCAAAACTCCAACTAGTTTCCTCAGTTCCTAGAGATTTACAGATAGTTTTCTTGTCCCAACTTTTTGAGTCATACGCCATATAACTCAAAATACTTTTTTTTGCCTAAAAAGTTAAAAACTCATCTTGTGGTTTAGTTTGATGTTTACTATTTTCCATTATAAAGTAAATATGAGTTTATGAGATTTGCAAATTCTTACATTTACATTGTACAGTATTAACATTCTATTGGATATTTCATTGAATACCCATCCATCCACCCATCCATCCATCCACCCATCCATCCATCCACCCATCCATCCACCCATCCATCCATCCATCCATCCATCCATCCATTATCTTCTGCTTGTCTGAAGTCGTATCACAGGGGCAGCAGCGTGAGCATGGAGGCCCAGACATCTCTTTCCACATCCCACTTTTCCAGCTCTTCTCAGAGGATTCCAAGACGTTCCCAGGCCAACCGAGAGACATTACCTCTTAAGCGTGTTCTGGATCTTCCCCGGGGTCTCCTCCCATTTGGGCATGCCCGAAGCACTTCCCTAGGGAAACGCCCAGGGAGCATCCTTACCACATGTCCAAACCACCTCAACTGGCTCCTCTCAATGTGGAGGAACAGCAGTTCTACTCCAAGTCTCTCCCAGATTGTTGAACTTCTTATCCTATCTCTAAGGAAGAGTCCAGCTACCCTGCGAAGGAACTTCATTTCAACCACCTGTATCTGCGATCTCGTTCTTTCAGTCACTGTCCAGAGCTCGTGACCATAAGTGAGGGTAGGAATGTAGACCAGTCGGTAAACGGAGAGCTTTACCTTACAGTTCAACTCCACCTTTACCGAAACGGACCAGCACAGAGTCCGCAATACTGCAGATACTGTAATGATTAAGTAAACTAAGGACCCAGAAATGCTACCATCACACAGAAAAAAGTGTTTACAGGCCAACATTTTTCAGTCGGGTCATCTGGACAGTTTCTTTTTTTGTGCTGAAATGTTTCGCCTTCGATCCGGAAGGCTTCATCAATCAAGGAAACACACAACACAAAACTGATTCTTCCCCCAACAGCTTACTCCAAAGTAGAACAAACCAGTTAGTTGGTCTCTTTGGAATGCCCCCTCCTCCATTGCCGGCCCTCTTCCTTGTTGACAGTCGTGTCAAACTGGTTGAAAACAACAAAGTCCATGCTCAATAATCCAGGTATACAATCCAACATTTTTCAGTCAGGTCATCTGGACATCTGGATTTTTGAGCATGGACTTTGTTGTTTTCAACCAGTTTGACATGACTGTCAACAAGGAAGAGGGCCGGCAATGGAGGAGGGGACATTCCAAAGAGACCAACTTAGCACCAATAAAACTGGTTTGTTCCACTTTGGAGTAAGCTGTTGGGGGAAGAATCAGTTTTGTTGTGTGTTTCATTGACTGATGAAGCCTTCCGGACTGAAGGCGAAACGTTTCAGCACAAAAAAAAAAAGAAACTGTCCAGATGACCTGACTGAAAAATGTTGGATTGTATACCTGGATTATTGAGCATGGACTAAGCATTTACAGGCTTTATTTTAAATGAAGCCTGCAGCTCTGGACACTGGACCTCAGGGACTGATTTGCAGATCTGAACCAGAGAGAGGCAGGTGAGTGACAGGGGCAAGGCAGGTCAATTTTAGCACAGAAAGAGATTAGACCAACCTGTCAAGGTAAGGACATCCCAGGAAGAGCACGGTCCAAGTAAATGGTCCAGATAGATGATGAGGTCTTCACAGAACAAACAGGTTAGAGAAAATCAACAGGCTGAGCAGAATCCAGAGGGCCAGGCAGGGGTCAAACCATAAGATCTGAGAGCAACAACTTGTCAGGCAAAGGAGCAGGCAAGGCAAAGTTAAAAAGCCAGGCAGGGGTCAAAACCTTGAGATCAGAGAGCAAACGTTGGCAGACAAGGATCAGGCATAAACAGGGGTTCAGAAGGCAGAAATGGGTCAGGTTCTTTAAAGAGCTTGGTTTGGCTTGAAAAGGCTGGATCTCTTTGGCTGAAAGCTTCAGATAATCTGGCACTGGTGCAGTGGCTGAGAGAGGCTTATACAGAGCTTGAGATAATTAAGCAGACACAGGTGAGCTGTGTTAAGTGACAGGAGTTGAGGGAGAGCAACAAAAAGGAAAAAACATGACATGAACAGTCCAGAAACATAAATTATGACAGATACTGCACAAATTTGTCTGTCAGTATCACGCTCCATTCTTCTCACTTGTGAACTAAACTCCAAGATACTTGAACTCCTCCCATTGAGGCATTCTGCTATTTGCGGATGATGTGGTCCTGTTGGTGTCATTGCGCCATGATCTTCAGTTTTCACTGGAGCTGTTTGCAGCAGAGTGTGAAGCAGCTGGGATGAGAATCAGCACCTTCAAATCTGAGGCCATGGTCCTCAGTCAGAAAAGTGTGAATTGCTCTCTTCAGGTCAAGGGTGAGGTTCTGCCTTAAGTGGAGGAGTTCAAGTATCGTAGGCTTTTGTTCACGAGTGAGGGAAGAATGGAAGTTGAGATTGACAGACAGATTGGTGCAGCATCTGCAGGATTGTGGACTCTGTGCCGGTCCATTGTGGTAAGGAGGGAGCTGAACTGTAAGGTGAAGCTCTCTGTTTATCGATCGGTCTACATTCCTACCCTCACCTATGGTCACGAACCTTGGGTAGTGACGAAAGAACAAGATCGCAGATACAGACTGTTGAAATGAGTTTCCTCTGCAGGGTAGCTGGACTCTCCCTTAGAGAGTGAGAAGTTCAGTTATCCAGGAGAGACTCAGAGTAGAATCGCTGCTCTTCCACATTGAGAGGAGCCAGTTGCGGTGGTTCAAGCATCTGATAAGGGGAGGCACCCAGGGACTACCCTAGGGAGGTGCTTCAGGCATGTTCAACTGGGAGGAGACCCTGTTGAAGACCCAGGACACACTGGAGAGACTATGTCTCTCTGTTGGCCTGGGAATGTTTTGGGATCCTCCCAGAAAAGGTGGCTGTGGAAAAAGATGTCTGGGCCTCCCTGGTCAAGTTCCTGCCGCAACCTAACTTCGGAACAAACGGAAGAAAATGGATGGATGGAATTTCTTTCGCTTTTCCCGGCACTGCTTGCGGGGCTGTTCAACTGAAAGCCAAGAGCTCAGGGGCCGGACATCCAGCAGTTATTTTCATTAAGTAAGTTTGTTTTATGGTTTAAAATCTAGTTTTATTTAAAAATGAACCCATTGGTGAGCCACACTGAGGTCATCCGTGGGTCTGATTTAGCTCCCAGTCCACCAGTTGAATATCTCTGCCTTAAAACTCTGGGTGTAGCCATTCTGCACCATCATCTCCAATATCTCTGTAAATTAGCTCATTTTTTGTGGCGCCGGCTATCAAGTCAAGTCAAATTTATTTATAAAGCACATTTAAAACAGAAGCTGTTACCAAAGTGCAACATCAATCAACACAGAGGAGAAATAGAGATTCTGATGTAGTTTGCAGTTTTGGTAGGTAGGTCATCCAATGAATTTATGTTAATGTCCTACCTCTGCTAACCTTCCTATCGTCTCCCCCTCCTCAGATCATCACAGCCTGCACAAGACTTATTGAAATAAAATGTCTACTAATTTTTACTAGCGTTTGGGAAGTACGACTTGGTACTTGGCAAAACGAACCATGTGAAGCTTTATAATTCAGTATGGCAAATAATTACAATCTGTTCGTACACATGGCACGTTTTAATCCTCCTGCTGCCCTTGGATCAACTTGACCCACAAGACCTTTGTTTTAAATCTGAGCCCTTGTCCAGTTGAGCTGCTTGACCCCAAACCGTTTCCAAACAAAGGTGTTGCAAAACCAAATATAACTGAACAGCTTCATGGGTCAACATGCTCTTATAAGACAAAATAACAAGTTTTTATGATCATTCCCATGAAAGCAAGTTTTCTAATTGTATTTATTTTCACACTTTCCAATTAATTGCACACATTGCCAGTCTTTATTTCTGACATTTGGCAACTTGGCACACAACAAATGCAGGAAAGTACAAATGACAAATTCAAAAAGATCTGTTTTTTTCATTTTCTAATAAGAAGCCACATTAGGGACATCAGAGAAGGATTTTTTTTTTAATTTGTTATCAGCTACAGATACTCACAGGATGAAGTTTGAACAACAATCAGGTTGCAGATACAAATTAACAAAAGATTATCGTAAAAATGCTCAGATTTTGGGTATTTTAGTTACTAAATGTGATGTGATAAATTTGTTACGGTACGATGCAGGAAATACTTTAAATATCTTTTCGGTGACTGTTTCTAATAATTGTCATCTTTGGTTCTTGTTTTAACCACATATTCCTTCTCATCATAGGCTGCAGATGTGAGTAGTTTAGGTAGAAGATCTGAGTCAGACCTGAGGACCCAAATACATCAGCTGCTGGGGAGAAATGAAGAACTGAGGCAGGAGCTGAAATCAGCTCGAGAGGAAGCAACCAACAATTTCAGTCAGCTTATCAGAGCTAAAGACAAGGTACAATTATATGGTAAACAAAAATGTAAATGATTTTTTATTATACTAATTTTAGTAGCTTTTTTGTCTCTACCGGTAATCTTTTAGCGCAAAAGCAAACTTGTATAAATTATCCAAATTGTGTCAAGTTAATTGCAGTAGGACCCAAGGATGGAGGCTGACACGAGGACTTGATGAAAATAATGCATGTGTTAATAAAAAATTGCTGGTGTGGCAGCAAAATGCAAGATAACTAAAAATGAGAACCAGATAAAGCTTGAAGCCAAAATGACTGACTGCAGGTGAGTTAGGACTGGAAGAATACATGGACCAAGTCTGATGTGGTTAAGTGGTGACAGGTGAGACTAACGATGATAAGAAACACGTGTGAATGGAAGGGCCGGGGACTGAGGAGAAATACAATGAAAATGACAAGAAACACAGGAAACAACGGTAAATACTGAACACGGGGAAAACGCACAAAACCACAACAAAACGCGATAAGCCTCAAAACAAAAGCAACGGAAAACACATATTGTGTCATTCGATTCAAATTAATGGTTCTCAAACTGTGGAGCACAACCCCTAGGGATGCAGTGTCACGACAAGGTCATGTTAGCATTCTTAATGCTTTTTAGTAGGTGCAACTAATGTGTTGATGTTCCAACTCAGATTGGTTTTTGTGTAACACAAATTGCATTTCCATGGCGATTAGACGGATGAACCGCAGGCTGCGCATTGTGAAGTGTGGGTCCACTCGCTGACTTTAATACAGATAGACGAAGCGCATTTGCTTCTTCTTGTTCAAAATTGAAGCCAAAGTGTTTATTTTTGAGGGCATGTTGTACTTTTGGCGCAGAGGCTGCATACATAAAATGTGGGATTACACCCTCGATCCGAAGGTCCCGCCTACATTCCCTCCAAACTCACCGTCTGGCTGTCACACTGTCAATCACAGTCTAATATGACACTTTCAATAAGCACATTTGGGGAAAAAAACTGAACATATAGCATCTACGTCAGAACTACCTTACTTGAATGAACAAAAATCAACATGCATGTTTTTGGTCTGTGGGAGGAAACCAGAGTACTCTGAGAAAACCCACACATGTATGGAGAGAACATGCTAACTCCACCCAAAAAGGCCCTCGGCCAGGATTCAATTCAGCAACCTTTTTGCTGAGAGGCGGCAGCTCTACTAACTGAGTCACCGTGCTGCCTGAATTTCTCTCTAATTGAAATAATTTTATTCATAAAGAATCTCATGAAGTCATCACTGCTTATAGCTGTAGTGATAAATGGCTCAGCAGAGATAGGACTTTTCGTTAGTCTAGCTATAGTACTGAACAAAAACCTTTATTCTCATCTATTATAGATTAATAATATACAGTTCTAGCTTTAAAGAGAACTTTCTTATATGTTAGCAGACTATCCCTCCAAGTAAAATAAAACTCTATTACGTTAGGGGAGCATCATTTTCTTTCCAGCTTTCTGGATGCCTGTTTTAAAGTGCGTAACTCAGAACTGAACCAAGAAGCTAGTCTCCTGCATGTCAGTGTGGACTCAGTGGGAGGTCTGTTGTGGGGTAGTGGGGAGGAACTTTTTTTTGCCCCCAATAAAGATGTTTCAAACAATGACTTTTATTTTCCTCTTTGTTATGTAAGCCTCAATTTACTATGCTGTATTCAAAATTATTATGCAAATTTTGCTTTTCTTTGTTTGAATATAGTTAATCTAATAGACAGTCAATGGGATTTCTTTAATTCCACAACAATCGTATAAACATTTCATGAGCGAAGCTGCTCTTCGAATTTGACACATTTGCCTGTCCGAAGCTGAACAAACCCATCTGAACTCTAAATCATATGCAGAACTTTTGATAGGAAGATGATTTCTGTTAATATTTTGTAAAATGTCCAATGTTATTATGTTTGCTGCAACACATTGCACTATTTCACATCTTTTATCCTCAGAAAGGTTGTTCTTTCTCCCCATATTGCTTGAAACTTGTGACTTTTCTTAAAAATATGGAACAACCTTCTTAAGTACCGCAATTTTCGGACTATTAAGCGCACCTGAATATGAGCCGCGCCCACTAAATTTAAAAAGAAAAGAACAAGTTGTACATATATAGGCCGCACTTGTCTATAAGCCACAGTGTCCGCGTTGTAACGAGATATTTACACAGTTTTTTTTTAAACTTTTTAAAAAACATGTATTGGTAATGTACAGAAATACATACGGTAAATGTTTATTTCTGAATAGTGCCTGTAACACAGCTGGTAATAAAAATTAAAAAATACAATAGCCTACCAGAAAGTCATTGATCACTATCTTCACCTTCCTCCTGCGCAGGAGGAAGGAGGCTGGAGGACAACTTGTGATGTCCACAAAGGGGAGGGAAGGAGAGAACCGTGAGGGTCCCCCCTCCCCATTCTCATTGGTCCACTCCTTCCCCAGTAGACCAGTGAAGTCAAGTTTCCTTGGTTCACTGTGACCTGTTCGGTAATTTCATTGTTCAGATTTTTTTTTTTTAACCTTTATTTATACAGGGAGTCTCATTGAGTCACAAGGACCCACCCCCCAAGAGAGACGAGTATCGGGCATCTATGTGAGCGCCCAGGTGTGACGAGGCTAAATGTTTTGGCGGCATGAAGCTCGTTAGCCCGTCCAAAAAAATAATCCACAAATTAGCCGCAGCATTGTATAAGCCGCAGTGTTTGAAGTGTGTGAAAAAAGTAGCAGCTTATAGTCTAGACATTACGGGTATTTTTTTATTTTTTAATTGTTATTAATCTTAGATGGCAATTAATGTCTGGGATCTAAACAGACTGGACAAACGGGACAACTGAGAACTTGAAATGGAAAAATGATGTTAAATGTTTCACTGAAATTCTATTTGCATAATAATTTGGAATGCAAGGACTGTCTCTGCTAATCCCTGATTTGGCAGGATTCCCATAAAAATGCCTTGTTCCCTGAGTTACGGTGGACCGTTTTGAAGCAAACGAACTTTGCTGTCTAAAGAATGCATTTCAGTGAAACTGTATGAGCAAGCGTAATGAGAAGTGTAGCTTTCTTTGACATTTTCACCACCTTTGCCTGTCAGGTGAGCCAACTTGAAGAAGAATTGGAGCTGCTCAAGAAGTCAGGCAGCAGCAGAGCCCTCCACCGACCTCTGACCCTCCCTGAGGGCCTGGGGCCCAGCAGCACAGAGGTCATCAGCTCCTTGAATGAGTATGCTGTTCGGCTGCTTCAGGTCAGTGTACGCTGACGACTCAGACACCTAAATGTAAATCAACTGCTTAAAAAATATTTCTGTTAATAAGGAGCTGAAAAGCAAAGAGGAGAAAACCAGAAGACTCACAGGAACTCTGGAAGAATACAAAGAGAAGTTTGCAGCCATCAGTCATCAACAGGCACTCCTCTATAAGGAACACCTTAGGTGAGTTCACAGGATAGAAACTTTAATTATCAACGAATGCAGTAAACTATAAAAACATTTTATTGGGTCTTTTTTTTTTCCAGTGAGAAAGCAAAGTGGCAAAGAGACAAAGAGACATTCACAGAGGTGAAGATAAAGTTGGAGGAGCAAAAGCAGGTGGATGATGTGAAAGTTCAACAGTTTAATGTAAGTCAGATAAAAAAATACTTAAAAGATTACTAGAATTCAAATTCTGCATTATATAATGTAGTACCTTTATACCACTGGCTTTATACTGTGCCTCCCATTTGCTCACACACCCGCAAATTACTTTTGATGAGACAAATTTAAAGGGATGTTTCACACTATTAAAGTCTGGTCATTATGGATTAAAGGAGAACTTCTTTTTTTTATTTATTTATTGGGTTTTCAATTCAAAAATACTTTATTAATCCCAGAGGGAAATTAAGTGTTGTCGTAGCTCATCATCTTGGTTTCGTTCAAGAGTTGTTATAGATGCTGAGCTGTGGGCAGGAAGGATCTCCTGCAGTGAATTCAAAGAATCTGGCCACAGATACTGATCCATCCACCTGGATCCAGCTTGCTGTCAGGTCTGGTGGGCCTCTCGGTCCTCTTGGGTAGCAGAACTGTCCGACCGCTGGGTAGAATTCCTCCCTGAGCGATAGTCACTCCTCCCAGCAGTCTGCCGAGCTTCTCGTCACCACGGACAGCCAGCTTACGATGTTGGGGGATGTTCCTGGTCCTCCCGTTGTCAAAAGCTGAGTTTCCCACCAGCTCCATGATCTTGGTGGTCAGGTACTCGAGCACAGCTGCTAGGTTGATGGAAATTCAACCACGGTGCCTCCTTTTCTACTCCTTTGGGGCTGTAGCTGATGTATTTGAGCTTTTTTTTTTTTTTTTTGCTGAAAAGTTACAAACTAATGATGTACCTGTTTTAAATAGCTCTTTTATTGACATCAGTTTAAAATTTTTTTTTTAAATTCTTATGAGTCCTCGGGATGCCAAAAGCAAAGGGAGTTGCTACCATCCTAAAAATACTTTTATCAGAATTTCATAGCATTTTTAGTGTGAACAGTATTTTATATATCTGTACACACCCATTAGGTCTTCATGATATGATTATTCTGGCAGAAATTTAATATTCTTGTCAAAAGTTCTAGAGTTGGTGATGTTGCTGCTATCAGAGCTGGCAAATAACCCCAGAATTCAGTGCCAATAACTGTAATTTCCCAAAAACGTTACAAAAATAAAGCAACTGGACTTCTATATCTGAAAACGTTTTGCTTCCCATCCAGGAGGCTTTATCAGTTCAAACTGTATAATCTGAAACTGCTGGTGATGCTGAAGGTAAATAAAATCGTGTCTGCATGGTCCGTTGTGAAATATTTGTTTGGATCTGTCCTCGATCAGCAGTCATTCACTTTATTCCTGCCCACATTTAAACTAGCTTTTAACCATAGGTGTCACAACCATTATATGTGAAGGGGACGTGCCCCCCCCCCCCCCCCCACACACACACACACACATGACAGATGCTTCTGACGCCCTTGCTTTTAACGCATCCATCTGGTCAGAATTAAGCCCTTATCTCTCTAAACTGAGGCCGTTCGGGCCGTTCAGGCCGTTTTATCTAGGTAAGACGCTCCGCAGATCCACACTGGAAATGTTTGAAATATAAACCTGCAGCTAAATTAAATCTCACTATGACGCCTCAAACTCGGCAAATGGGAAACATAAACCGAGAGACTAGAGCAGACATGATAGAAGAACTACTGAGAATAATGGACAGCACAGATTCCATCATGTGTCACAGCACTGGTTTTAGCTTTAAATAAATATGACGAAGAAAAGGAACAGCCAACAAATATAAGCTTCACTAGTAGAAGGAAGAGCGGTGTGAGTGGAGGCTATTCATGCAAACTCCTGCGTTTCGTTCGTCAGGACCTGCTGAACACTCTTCAGAAGACCCCAGAGGAAATCAAACGACAGTTGAGCGAAGTATTTCGCAAACAGACCATCTTGAAAGTTAACGAGAAGAAACTCACACGGCGCTACACCACCCTGTTGGAGCAAGAGCAGCACCTCCGCAAGGAAAACAACAGGCTGTGGGATGAGAGCAGCCACATGCAAGCATCTGTCATCCAGAGGATGGGTTACCTGCAAAGATACAAGGTAGACGCAAGCTGTTTCACAATGTTGAAAAGTGCAGACTTTAGACAAATCAGACAATTCTGTGAGCATGAAATGGATTAATAACGGGTACAGGGCTGATAAATCAGCCAGCCGATCACCGATATATCGGCTGGCCGATTTATCGTGATCGGCCGATATCCATACATATAAATAAAAATGAAGAGCGTATAAAAAAAAATCAATCTTACTATTAACTAAAATCTTTTTAACTTATGTTTGTGGGTTTGTATGATCACATATTTGTTGTTTCAGTAGAAGTAATTATTTATAAACCGCCTGGTTCTGGTCTTGAACTGGAGTCATTGCTGTTTACAAGAGGGCTTGACTTGCTTTTCTGTAAAATGTTCAGTAGTTTAAATTTGTTTCACGAGAGGGAATGTGTGCTTTTTTTAGAAGCAGTTTTTGATAATCATCTTGACTATTTTTAGGCTAAAGCTAAAGACTTGGTCATCTTAGAAGCCTTTTTTTTTTTAGATATTCATGAGGTCTTTCCCCCCATTATGAGACTCCCACCTCTGTGTCACACTGTGGTGATCCTAATCAGGCTAACTTTAAGCATGTTGGACCCCATAGAAGGAACATTTATTTGCAGTATTGTGAAGAAAGTGGATATTTTAACACCTACAATGCTTAATATTGTACATTAGATTCTGGAAGTCTCATGAAATCTCAGTTAACGAATGCCAAGACCACTCCAGGAAGTCTGTGACCTTCAAGCTCTGAAGTGAAACACTAGAAACCCAACACGCCACCACCGTGAACAAACATCATCACTCAACACAGTAGGCCTCTGCATGCAGAAATGTAACCTGAAACTTTATTATGCAAAGGAGGAAGCAGTTTATCAAATCTGTTCAGCATTACGGTAACTTCTCTGAGAACAAGTTGATGTCAGATGGACAAGAAAGTCAGATGTTCTGTGGTCAGATGAGTCCAGTTTGAGCTGCTTTCAGAACAAAACATGTTGGATTTGACATAAAAAGATGATGGATGTTATTAGTAAAAGGTGCCAGGTTGTGTGATGGTACACAAGCGTTCAAGTCTCAGATATGTGTGAATAGATGCAGAGGCATGCGTTGGAATGTTGGAGAGAATCTCTGTCATCAATCTGAGGCTCAACAAGAGCTCTGTGTGTCGAACCTTCAACATCATGTTGACGTGCACATTCCGTCTAAAAGTCTGTACTCAACATAACTTCCTAAAATCTGTCCACATTTTAACATGTTCCAAGATATTAGAAAATATTTATTGTCACTCTAATAACAAGTAAAACTAAACTTTTGGTCTAATAAAGTAAAATTGTACAGTGTGTTGCAGAAGTATTCACTGTCCTGGGTAATCCTTCAGTATTTTTTTTTTTTTGCCATACAACTAGGCTTTATTTGGATTTTTCATTTTAGTTTTATAAGTATGCTCTACCAAGGCGGCACAGTGGAGCAGTTGCTAGAGCTGCCGCCTCTCAGCTAGAAGGTCGCCGGAACGAATCCCAGCCCAGGGGCCATTTTGGGTGGAGTTTGCATGTTCTCTTCGTTCATGCGTGGGTTTTCTCCTCAGTTTTTCTCCTACCATTATGCAAGGAGGAGGGCGCCCCTCCCTGTCAACAGAACCGAGCACCCTGCCTACCGAACTGTCCCCCCCCCCCCACCCCCGGATCAAAATGTGCCGACACTGACGTAGTGCTAAGCTTGCAGCACACAATGCAGACGCACTACACAGGTAGCGCCATGTCTCCCTCACCCTGAACTGTTTCCTTCAACCCCTCCACCGCTCCGGTCGACAAAAATCAGGAGAACGTCCCGCCAAAACGAGTAACGTAGAGGAAACACTGCTCTGGGTGCTTCAATTTCCTCCCACAGACCAAAAACATGCATGTTGGGCTGATTGGTGACTCTAAATTGTCCCTAGGTGTGAGTGAGAGAGTGAATGGTTGTTTGTCTCGTTATGTGGCCCTGTGATGGCCTGGAGACCTGTCCAGGGTGTCCCCCGCCCCTCACTGACTGCTGGACATGGGCACCAGTGACCCTCGCAGCCCAAAAATGAAGAAGCGGGTAAAGATCATGGATGGATTTTATTTATTCCCCTTTTTTTCCCTTCTCTCTGTCTTCTGCCTTTGTCATTAGCTTTGTATGGTGGCCCTGAGGTGTAAATGAACATTTGAAAAAAACTGAATTGCATTGAATTACATTTGGGAAAAATGGAATTACATTAAAAAAAAACCTCAATTACGTTTGAAAAACAGAATTAAATTTGAAAAAAACTGAATTACATTTGAAAAAATAGAATTACATTTGGAAAAATAGAATTACATTTGGGAAAAAAAAAAGGGATAAAATTTGAAAAACTAAACTGAATCACATTTGAAAAAACAGAATTACATTAAACCAAACCGGAATTGTTATTTTTTTTTTTTTTTACTTTATTAACAACATAGAACAACAGAACAATGTACATTAACAGGATACAAATACAAACTCTCGTGAAGTGTGTGGGGTCCATGTATCATTTGTTCAGTTATTTTTGAATTGAGAATCCAAAATAAAAATAAAATAAACACCACTTATGGTTTGGCTTAATGTAATTCAATTTTTTTCAAATGTAATTCCGTTTTTTCAAATGTTCATTTACACCTCATGGCCACCCTATCATTGACATTTTTCACAAAACCTTTCAGCTGAAAAAAGCAGATGATCCAGTTTTTCTGAGACATTGTGATCATCACAACATTAGCTAAAGTTCGAATTTATTTTCCAAAAAAAAAATAATATCCCACCAGAAAAGTACTTGTCAACAAATCCCTTTAATGTCTCATCTTTTGTTTGCTCTTTAGGAAATGGCTGCTTTTAAACTGGCAGCTTTGCAAAAGGCCTTGGATGCTAGCGTGCCTGCATCAGAGCTAGAGAAGGCTAATAAGCAGTACACAGACCTAACGGTCAAATACAGAGACCTGCTTGAAAGGGACAGCTGCTTTATACAGAGAACCACCAACCTTGAACATTTAGAGGTATTAAATCACAAAAAGTGTTTTCATGACATTTTCAACGTGTTTATCTGTTTCATTTGTCAACTGACTTTTCCTGCCGCTCAGAGTGAAAACAAATCTCTTCAAGAGCAAATTTCTTCCATGAATAAGGAGCTGGAGCTCACCAAGGAGAAACTGAATACCTTAGAGCAAGCATGGGAGGACGTCCATTCCACTGGTAAAGAAACAATAGCACTCGTCGTAGCTGTTTCCATATCGAAATGAAGCATGTGGCGTTTTGCGTACTTTGACTATGAATTATGTTATAAAACAGACAATGCTACTAAAAAGCTAGGGTTATAAGATCCAACTGAATGTGTATTTCAACAGCTGTTTTAGTAAAGCTCATTTACAAGTTGAACTCAAGACAACCCCTGTTTAGATCCAAAGGTTGGCAGGGGTTTATCGATACCATACCATACCATACCATACCATACCAATTTATTTATAGAGCACTTAAAACAGCAACAAGGCCAACCAAAGTGCTGTACAAAAGAAAACAAACATGCACAGCAGACAGGAAAACATAAAATAGAAATACAGATACAAATAGCAGCAGGAGCTAACTAAAATGGCCAACAGAGTAGAGAACAGACCGGACCAAAACAAATCACACCATGTTAAAGGCAAGCGAATAGAAGTGGGTCTTCAAGCGAGACTTAAAGACTGAGAGTGTGGGAGCCTGCCGGACACAGTGGCAACTCATTCCACAGTCGTGGACCTGCAACAGAGAAAGCCCTGTCACCCCTGAGCTTACGACGGGTTTCTGGGACTGAGAGAAGCGTCTGGTCTGCTGACCTCAGAGAGCGCGGTGGGACATATGGCTGCAGAAGATCAGTGAGATAGGATGGGGCGGAACCGTTCAGTGATTTAAAAACATACATGAGAATTTTGAATTGGATCCGAAGGTGAATGGGTAGCCAGTGCAGGGAGGCCAAAACTGGCGTGATGTGCTCTCTATAGCCTGTACCAGTTAAAAATCGGGCTGCAGCATTTTGGACCAGTTGTAGACGAGCAATGGAGGACTGACTGATTCCAAACAGAAGTGAATTGCAGTAATCAAGCCTAGATGTTATGAAGGCGTGGATCACTATCTCAAGGTTCTTCTTGGAGAGTATAGGCTTCAGCTTAGACAGCCGTCTCAGCTGAAAAAAACAGGATTTGACCATCATGTTTACTTGACTGTTGAGTTTTATTGATGCCACAAGACACATGCCAGTGCACAGGATTCTCACAGGGTGTTGACTGCTCGCATTTGTTTAACTGCAAAGCATCTTTTTGAGCATTGTTGATATAAAGTGGGTGGTATCACACAGCTCATGTACATTCACTTTATGATTGCTCGCTGGATTTGAGCTGTAGCTGCCATTGTTTTAATTCAATTCAGTTTATTTATATAGCGCCAAATCACAACAAAGTTGTCTCAGAGCACTGAACAGGAACATTCACATACATAGAAAAGCCAATTAGTAAAGTTCTCTATCTAAGGAGGCCAGAAGACTCGTTGAATCTTCACTTCGTCTCCCATCCTGAGCAAGCACAATGACAACAGTGGAAAGAAAAACCTCTCTGAAGGCTCCAGCAGAACCAGGCTCAGGACGAACGGCCATCTGCTTTGACCGGCTGGGTTTGAGAGGAACAGGAAGGAGAAGCAAACAAACACAGAATGGCAGGTCCAGATGTAGGTGCAGGTGCACCTGAAAGACAAAAACACATCAAGGATAGAAAAAATAATTACAAATACAAAACAGGGTGAGCAGAGTAAGTGAAGACAGGAGCATAGTGAAGAAATCTGTCAGTCTGTCCTCCAGCAGTCTAAGCCTATAGCAGCATAACTAAGGGGTAGCTCAGGGAAACCCAAGCCGACCCTAACTATAGGATTTATCAAAAAGGAAAGCCTTAATCCCAGTCTTAAAACTGGACAATGTGTCAGCCCCACGGACAGAAACTGGAAGTTGGTTCCACAAGAGAGGAGCCTGATAACTGAAAGATCTTCCTCCCATTCTGTTTTTGGAAACTCTAGGAACCGCGAGTAAGCCTGCAGTCTGAGAGCGAAGCGCTCTGTTAGGAAAATATGGAACATTAAGATCCCGAATAAAAGATGGAGCTAGGTTGTTCAGGGCTTTGTAGGTTAGAAGTAAGATTTTGAATTCAGTTCTGGATTTGACAGGGAGCCAATGGAGAGAAGCTAAAACTGGAGAGATATGATCTCCCCCACTAACTTCAGTTAAGACTCTGGCAGCAGCATTTTGGATCAACTGAAGACTTTTTAAAGAAGTATTTGTACACCCACATAAAAAAAAACCATTGCGATAGTCCAGTCTAGATGTGACAAATGCACGAACCAGTTTTTCTGCATCATTTTTTAGATAAGATGTTTCTAATTTTAAATTTTAAGATTCTCATATTGGCAGTAGAGATTCAGCGTAAAATGTTATCATCTGCACATTGAATGTCAATCAAAACTAAAAGGTTTTTTTTCTACCTATGAAGAACAATCAGTGCTAGACCGTGTATAAGGCTAATCTGAATTGCGTTAAAACAGTTAGAAATCGTTTTGGTTCCAACTAAGTTTCATGGTTTTGACGCTTATACAGCCTTGTAGTTTAACTTGAGAAAATCTCAGGGTTTTTTTTTTATTATGTTTTTGTCTCTTTCTGAACATATATTTTAAATTCGGCACAGAAATGGGCATGGCCAAGGTAGACAAGGCATCATTCAACAACGATATGGTATCTGCCGCGAGACAAATCACCACTTTAGAGATGAAGGAGCTGAATGAGAGACACAGAGCTGAGCACGCCCAGAAAATGTACGAGCACACAAGGATCTCCTTCAGACAGGTGGAGGAACGGAACGCGGAGCTGGAGTCAAAATTTGCCGAAGTAAGAGATTTAGTTTTAACTGTCATGCGCTAAAGACGTGCACATCGACGTGAGTGAGTTACAACAAGCTGTTCAAAATGCCGGACAACTTAAATACTTTATTTTAAATGTTTTTGTACCATAAAAATACAGAATGATTGGGGGTAGTTTACAATAGGCCTGGGCAGAATTACATTCATGTCACCAGTTTTATTTATTTCTAACAACTGCAAGGCTTGGCAGTTTCAACACTTGCAAAGACTTCGTTTACGCAAGCATTTCTTTATCTGTTTGTTTTTTGTTCCTTAGTTGACCAAGATGAATGAGGAGGCCCAAAGGACTGAGCGGGAGCTAAGAGATAAGCTGGCAGACAGCATTAGCAAAGCTGTAAGCGATGCCGATAGAGCCAAGATTGTAGAGCTGGAAAAAGCAGAAGCAAACCTCCGCATCGAGGTTTTGAAGTACGTCCAAAGATACCCCGTTGTCAGATTTATTGTTTATAATGGCAACTTAATTTTGCACATGTTGAAACTGCATATGCAATCATTGATAATACATTGTAGGCGTGAGAATGTTTTTGAAATCATAACAAAGATTGTCCTGGTTGGAGTTAGAATATTTAACATGGACAGGAATCAACATATTAAAGGGATATTCTGTACATTTGAAGTGAAGTGGGGTTCTGCAGAAAAGCGATTAACAATTATTGTTACCTTCCGTAGATAGCGTTTTGAACAACCTCAGTTTGGAGAAATAACAGAACTCTTGTACTAATGGAACAGATGAAGCTGAATCAGTGACAAAGAGGACTGCTGTCATCCTAAAGCTTCAATCTTCATTTTTACAATTTTATTTAACCTTTATTTATATAGGTTAGTTTCAATGAGTCACGATGACTCATTTCAAGAGAGACCTGTTTTAGACAGACAACATATAAAGTACAGACAACTTTAAACAACAATTAAAAAAAGCAATTAAAATAAAAATAGTCATAATTTCCTGCGGGATCAATAAAATTCTTCTCTTATCTTATAAAAACACTGTTACGGTTAGCAGCATGGTCCTGCTAGCAGTGTGGTCCTACCAGCAGTGCAGTCCTGTTAGAAGCGTGGTACTGTTAGCAGCATGGTACTGTTAGTCACATAGTACTGTTAGCCACATAGTACTGTTAGCAGCATGGTCCTGC